CATGGCAGTGAGCGTGTGCATGCATGATTTCGAGCTGCATTTATTGTACAGAGAGCAAGAGCAAGCAAAGCTGGGAAAAAAGCGCATACATGCTTACAAATATATCAGCTGCTTTAAACGGGCAAGGCTGGAAAAAAGTAAAAAGTCCTGAAATATGTGTGAATATGTGGTATATATATGTAGGTATGTATCTAATGTCGAGCTCTACTGGTTCGTACTATTAGTGAAATTACTTTTTGGTTGGCTTCCAAGTGGAACATCGAGGCTTTGCTTGATTACTTACCACAAATAGATGACTGCCATTTCGGATTATTTATTAATTACAATCTGCATTTTTAATATAAACGGGTGAGCGGGGGTTAAGTGTCAGTTGAACTAAAAGTGATGCTTTATTATGTATATAACGAGTGATCCAAGTAGTGATAATATTTTCTGTAGTCTTCTTTTGGAAGATCACGCGTGAGTCGTGACAAGCGGTCATGTTATTTGTTGTTCAGTATTGTTTGTCATTTTATCATGGAAAAATCTACGTCTGAATAGCGTTTACGAATCATTTAACTATATTACGAAAATACGCGCTCTGCAATGAATGTGTTTCGCGCACTTCGCTCAACTCATAGTTAACAGAATTTTTTAGTGAGCAAACTACTCACATTTCATTATTGGATGATATTCGATCGCATAGACCACGCCCACGTAGCTGGTTTCTGGATGTGTGAAATCATTGGTCCATATTTCTTCAAAACTGATGTTGGTAAGAACATAACCGTCAATTGCGGATGTTACCGCGCCATGTTAAACGAATATTTGATGCTTGTAATTGAAGCTCGTGATCTCGGCGACATTAGGTCACTTCCCACACATCATATCAATCAATGGATTTATTGAGAGAATACTTCGGATCATTCAGTTTGTATGGCAGCTATATGTTATAGGAGTCCGATATCGGTAGTTCGGACAAATGAGCAGCTTCTTGAAGAGAAAATGACGTTTGCAAAATTTCAAAATGATATCTTACAAACTGAGGGACTACTTCGTAAATATACAAACAGACGGACAGGCGGACAGACGGACAGACGGACAGACAGACGTGACATCTTCCTTCTGATTGTTACAAACTTCGTGAAAAGCTTAATGTACGATGTTCAGGGCATAAAAATATGATTCCAGTTTGCCATCAGCAAGGTTACTTAATCCTAGACTGATGGCGGCTATCAATGAAGTTGTCGGATTCGCGCCTAGACAGCACAGTTTTAAATCTGGCAGGTTAATTTTGAGATTCAGGAAAAGCAGCATGAGTATATTATTTCGATGCTTTGATGCGAAGCACATATATTACCTCTCTAAATAATGTCCAAACAAATACGCAAAGGCTATGCGCTTGAAACGGAAAACCGGGATATAGCGATGATGCCCCAATTGACCTTCTACCGTATGGAAGAAAAAACTGTGAGAGTTAAAGAAAGTACGTAAAAATAACAAGAACGAAAGTGAACAAATATATAAAAGAATGCAAAAGTGGTTCCATGGTGGGCGACGGTTCCCTACGGCATTTAGTGACCTGCTCGTGGCACATAATGTAACAAAATCTTGCTCTATACATATATCCTCTATCCTCAAGAGACGAATTATTATCTAAGGTAGTAGTAATTCAACTATAACTTGCATAGATGAACTTTTTGAAAAAATACTGCATAAATTTACAAGCTTAAGTAGTATGTCTTAAAGAGTTTCTTTATTAAGTTTTCCTTTCTACAACTAGTCTTAAAGGAAATGCGAACTTCTTCTGTATCCTCCACCTAATTTCGTTTTCCTCGTTTTCCTCGTCAGATGTCGAACATCAAAGAGAGCTGCGGAAGCAGCGCAAAATTATGCTGGTCTGTTTGCGATCGCCTGCCGCAAGCGGTTAATAGTGGAATAGAAAATTAAAGGAAGCTACACATCCGATATAAAACGACGCGATAAAAAAAAAAAAAACAAGATTTTAAAATTTAAGAAGTAGTACGCATAGTGGTCACCTAAAGTACAGTTTACAGAAGAAGAACAGAAGAAGGAAGAAGAAATGAACAATAATACCTAGGTTGCAAAAGATCAAGCAAATTATAAAGGCGTTGTTGTCTAATCACTCAGATCATAGTAATTGTATTTTAGCTGTAATATTATACACAAATTTAAATTGTCTTCATGTGTTTTTGTTGTTTATCTAGAATTAACTTTGGACATGTTTTGATTTTGCCACGCTTCTTTTCCTTTCGTCCATCACTGTTTTTCTGCTCAGCGCATTTTTTTAGGGGTACCGGTTTAGCAGGTTCTACAGCACAATGGATTGGTCCCAGGCATGAGATGCATTGATTTGGATCAATAACTTTTTTTACTTCACTTTTTCCCTTGAGTAATGCTTGCACTTTATTCCATTCTCGATCTAGTTTTCTCAGCTGTTCGTGGAATTTTCGCTTGATAAATGTCACCTCGGTTTTATCCAATTTAGCCAACAACATGTTATGTATCTCAGTCTTTGTCATTTCAAGTGTGATCTTATCACTTTCAAAATCCTCACGCAATTTCTCAGTGATTATACAGCGATTGTAATTCTTATTCAATTCATCAAGCTCCTCGTTCAAGCGATCTTTCAAATCGACAAACTTCGCATACAGGTCGCTAAGTGTTTTACGTCTGCTATCCATTTTGTTGAGTAGCGGTGTTATGGCGCTATCAATGAGATGTACAATGAAATGTGGATTTGTTACTAATTTGCAGGCAATCTCGTCCTCAGCTTTGGGACATAAACAAAAGCTCTCGCAAGCCTCGGCGAACTTTTCGAAATTGCTCAAGCTATAATGCGTGCTCTGTGTGCATTCGTCATGTCGTATTTGCTTGAAGTGGCCCATTAGTTTGTCTTCCAACATAACAACACGCTCTTTAAGCTGGTCCACTTTTGCGAAATTCTCGGAAAATGTTTCGACCTTGTCGCATACAAAATGAAACGGTGATATACGGCTTTCTCTTAGGATTCCTTGCAAGCAGGTGCTCATCTTGCCGTCGATTTCAATCCTCTCAGTTCGTGAATCTAACTTTTTTAGTAGTATGTCAAAAAAACTTTGTAACAAAGACAAGTGAACACTGGAAATTTTCGGGCTACCCAAAGCAATTTGCAACAATTCCCGTAGCGTTAATTCAATATATGTTGTTGCCATTTTGGTAGTAATATTATGGTAATATGATGAACTTATCGCTGAGGTACTTATGTTAAAACAGAAAATATCGCACCCGGGAGAAAATATTTTCGTATTTTCAATAAACAACTAACAGACAGGCGACTGCTTGGAGTTCAGTGCTGCCAAGTTAAAATAGCTAACGGTTGGATTTGGCTTTTAATGTTAGGCATATTCTTGGGTATTAGCATTGCTTACTCTTTTATGTTCGCTAGAAAAATCTGAGAAATTATGAGGGCAATGCTATTGCATAAGCCGAAGGCATGGACATGGACTCTTCAGATAGTTCTGATAAAACTTTAAGCTCCTTTAGTATTTGGACCCATCATCAGAAGTAAGTTCAAAATTTGGAAGATAAACAGAATATTGTATTTGTTAGATGATCTATCCATATAAAGGGTGATCCATTTGATAATACTTTAGTTTTTTAAAGAAAAACGCAGATGCTTCTAATTTAATGAATAATATTTATTATTATTCGAAAGAGCAATTTTTGGTATTTATTTTTTGAAGGTTCTCTTTCAAATGTTGACCGCGGCTACGTTTTAGATGGTCCATCCATCCAAATTTTGGTGACTCTTTGGATTATTTCGACTGGTAACTGGCGTGTGAAACTCGTGAAGTTTTTTCAATTCTTGGAACGAAGCGGGACTGTCTGCATTAACCTTAGACTTTACATATCTCCACAGAAAAAAGTCTAACGTAATTGATGCAATGTGTGAGAGGCGGTGTCGTTTTGTTAAAACCAAATATTACCGAGATTCCGAACTTCAATTTCAGGCATCAAATAATCGGTTATCATAGCGCAATAACGTTCAACATTAACGGTTACCGGTAAGGGTATCATTTTTCAAGATTGATGATTCAACTGGCCTACAAACCACACCAAACGGTTTTTTTTCCTGGATGAAATGACATCTCTTACATCTCCTCACATTGCTCTTCGTGGCTAACGCGGCAATTTTGCTTGTTTACATAGCCATTGAGCCAGAAATAGGATTCGTCGCTAAAATTTGACTCGAAAATGTCGGATCTTCTTGGAACTTTTCAACAGCTTACAGAGCAAAGTGCTGTCATTCGCGTCTACTTAAAATAACATAAAATGAGCCAAGTCGTTCTATACGTCAGGCTGATTTACTGCGAACGGCGCCGAAATGACTCTCCACGGTCTTCGGCTGCACCCTCAGCTGCTGCTGTTTAATTTTCTTCACTGTGGACATGGTCTATTCGGTCGAACATTTTCCAATAATGAATGCTGCGTCTCAAGATTGGTGATGCTGTTGCGATAATATTCTCAGTAAGAAGATTGTGTTGATCATATAATGAGCGAACAAAGTTCAAATCCCATAATTTGTTTACCCATTACTCAAAATGGGTAATAAAAAAAATTCTTCTGAAAATCGGAATCGGTGGGTATCTCGTCTTGAGCCCATTCCCCGAATGTGCAGTGCGCTTTATGTACTTTCGACTTAAATTCTTGCATGGATCTTGCATCATCAACGAAGATCTTTTTGTAAAATCTTCCATAAAGTGGATGGGTATAGCTCCAAATGTTCCATACTATGGCGGATGGACACACTCGTTCCTTTTCCGATACTATGTTCCATACCTACGTTTTTAGTGCGCACTGTGCTACAACTCTGAGCATCTGTATTATCCACGCATTTTGAGTATATGCATATTTTGATCAAAATAATTAAATTTCTAGCAGACAAAGCGGCTTTCTTATAATATTAAAATATATAGGGAAGTCATACCTTGTGGATGTTGTATGTTTACTCAGAAACTGATATTTTTCAAGTCAAAAAATGTTTTTTTTTTTTTTCTTTCACCCAGTAATATGGCAAATCAATCAACTGTGTTTCAGTAAAAAAGGCGTCTGTGTATATATGTATGTATTCTCATACATACATTCGCGTAATTTTAATATATTTTTGCACTTTATACCACAATAACCATGACCACAACGCATATTGAAGTGAGTCTGAAGGAGATGTTGCAAATGGCGCTGGGCGCCCCAAAAATAAGTGAAATTAATATCTCGATATTGCATTGTCTCTTCGACATACTGTTCAAGAAGCTCGACTGCCAATACGAAAAGGTGGAAATGGACGGCCAAGAGGCGGCTTGCCTGCAATCAATCTTACGAAAGAGCAGAATAGCGCCCTTACCATTCAATACGGACAAAGTGGAAGTGCTCTCACACAAAATGAAAAAGCTGGTACATTTGCGGGCACATCAAAAGCATCTCGAAGAGCAGCTGAACGAACATTTGGACGAAGTACGTGCTTGTAATAACAAAGACAGCAATATGTATTCCATAAATGATTGGTCCAAGTATTGCGGACCTTGTGAATGGTATTGTACCAATGCCGAAACTGAGACGGACGTGTACTGCAATCTTTTGGAAAATTACGATTTCATTACCAAAGTTAAGCGCATTGTTGAGGAGCCCGTCATTGGTCCGATACTGAACATGAGGAAACGCATAGAGGAGTTGCATGTACATTTATTAGATTATCGACGTCGTTTAGAAGAAAAATCTAAGCGTTTGTCATATATAGAATACGTCGCGAACGATATTGACAAATTCAGTCAGCTAATTTCTCTGGAGAAGCGATCCTTTCAGCAGGCCATGGAAGAACTGCAGCGCATGATGGATGGTAAGATGTATAAGGTGGTTTTACCTACGCTTAAAAAGTACATACAGACCGAAACGGAAAAAATCAATGAAGTTTGCGCCATGCTAAAGAAGAAACAAAGCTGTGAGAGTCCCAATGAATTCTCAGGTACGCCTACAACATGCTTATCATGTAGAGGCAAACTTACATGCACAAGCAGGCCGATTTTGATTGCACCGCAGCGCAGTGCCGAAGTGTTGGACGTTAGAAAGCGGAGAATTGCCGAAGCTTGTAGTCGGATCGGTCCATGTTTGGCAAAAGAACAGGAAAAAGAATTACTACAACGGCTCAAAGTCATAAACGAGAGAACGGAGGAGGCCAAAATAAAAAGAGAAATGAGCAAGTCATGCTATGTACAGTCCGACCATTTTGAGGTATTCCAGGGTACTAATGGCGTTTATTATCGCAAGGCTTAAAAACTTGCTATTATTGGTAATAATGTTGAGTCATGCTGAAAATTAGTCATAAATAAATGGAATGTAACCACTATATACTATATGTCTATTTTGTATACTTTTGCCATGAAATGCACTCTCACATATGTAGACACTTTTCGCAAAAACATACGTACTTTTTACAAAATAAACTTATTTTTTTATGTTGTTGTGGTGACTATACACAGCAAAATATCCTAAGTTATGCGCCCAGAAGTTTCCGGTAAAACTAGATAATAAAAGCTAATTGGAAGTATATATTTTAATGCGAGTTCACAGAAGTTCCAATCTACCTTAGGTTGGACCCCTTACGGAGAAGAAGTAGCAGTGAAATAAATAAGAAAGCGCTAAGTTCGGGTGCAACGGAACATTTTATAATCTTGCAGCTTGCAAGAATCAAGGCTAAGGAGATATTTAAGTTGTAACACGTCAACCAAAGCGTCGATATCCAAGAAATTTTATATATGCATATACCAATTATTACTCATACATTGGCCGACGTATCCGGCATTATACTTGTATGGTATATACCGATGCGAACAACTACATAATTAATAATGACTTGTCTCTATAAATTAAATGATGATTTGTGTAAAATTTTTAAGGGAAAATATATAATTTTATTTTGAATTAACTTCTGTGAAAGTATGGTCAGATTTAGCTGACAATTTTTTTTGGAAAAATCCTGTTATTCTGAAATAGTTGAGGACATTTATGCAATAGTGATAAAAATGGTTGTGCACATAATTAGCAACGCGTGTGGAATTTACCAGCAAAATAACGACTTGAAACTTACTGTGCGTGGTAGAACACAATGGGTTCAGGAAAACATGGCTCTTCTATTAGACTGGCTTTCATGCATCTCGGACTTAAACTAAATCAAAAATCCTTGGACATATTTGAAGGAAAGAATTGATTCCTAAAAAGTTGGAAATTGCAAGGTTAAACAATAATGGAATAATACTCCAAAGGTCATCTTGGTTTAGTAGAGTCAATGCCTCTTAGATATCAAGCCGTGATTGACAGTTATAGGTTTGCAACTACATATTAACTTTAAACCCGAAAAACAAAACCAAAAACCAAAAGAAAAAAGAAAAAAAAAATAAAATAAAAATAAAATAAAATAAAATAAATAAATAAAAAATAAAAAAAACGTTGTAAAAATTGGGGTCACTTAAAATTTCTTGGCACACTTCCACTCGCCACAATTTCTGGTCGGCAGCGAGCATCTTCTCGCACACATTGCGCATGTTCAAGAGCTGCGTCACAATGTCATGAACCAAAAATTTTGATAAATTTGAACAACTGGGAAATTTAACTTATACTTAGACGACGGTCTATGTTCAAATTTTTGCGCACACGAGTCACATTGTCGGTGTTTGTCGAAGTTGCAGGTCTCTCTTCATTAGCGACCTCTTCACGGCTCTCCAAAAACGCCTGGTGCCACCGAAACATACCACTTCTTGCTAAGGCAACATCTGGGTAAACCTACTTGATCATATCAAACGTCTGTGTCACAGATTTATCGAGTTTCACACATAATTTAATTACATACCTCTGATCTAACGAACGCTGCTTTTACGTCTAGCACCACTTACAGAAACAAGTCGCATGAAATGACTCTCCGTGCGCTCGGAGACAACTGACCAGCAGTTGCGGCGGAAGAAAATCAGTCCTATTACTTTTCGGACAAACCCTATAGAGGCTATGTGAATTTTTTGCACAATTTTATCTATTTTTGGCGAGGTGCTCTTATGGATAATATATAATAATATTTTTATGCGGTACAAAGTCACCGGAAGTTCAAAAATCTTTATCCGTCCACGCTATATTGTCGCTGATACATAGATGGTACTACTATATACAAATTTGGCAACTAAGGAACTATCAGTTAATGAGATATGGAGTTTTGGGTGATGCAACTTTTATTAGTTTATAAAAAAAAGGATCAAAAAACATTTCGTGTATTAATAATACATTATTTTTTGGGGAAAATACGCTTGAATTTGGGTTCTGCACAGAGAAATCAGGCGAAATGGAGCGGAAGCGGAAGCTCTAGACAAAGCGTGTGTCGCGCAAGTTCATGATCCAACAAAAACAACGGATTGGTCATTCTGAGGAGTGTTTGAGTGCTCTTTGAACGCAATAATTTTGCCTGAGTTTGTGGTTTAAAAGGAGTACTACGTAGTCTTAGTTCCGTTAAACCTTAGTATTCAAAGCAATCTTCATTTATTCGCGGAAACAGCCACTAGCTAGTTCTACTAGAACTAAATACGAGGCATGGGTAGTTTACGCAAGTGAGGAAAGTTCTCTTAACGCTAAGAAACGAACTTTTCACATATGGCTAAAGCAGCTCACGACTTCCCGTCTTAGACTAAGTATCCTCCGGGAAACGAAAAAACATCTGTTAGAAGGCGAGCTCACTTCCGAAGCGTTAAGCGTCGGGTTTGGGACCCCGAATTAAAAAAAGATTACAGCCTCGGATGAGAGACCTCTGTTTTGATGACGATCACTAAAAAACGTATTAAAAAAAAAAAAAAAATCGAGAGCAAAATAAATGTAATTTATTACAAATATACTCGTATATGCAAACATACCATATATGTATATGTGTATACATATGAATGTAATAATATGTACGCTTGTATTGTGCTTACACATGCACAATTGTGAGGGTTCTTAACCTTTGCGATACAAGTTTCCATCGGTGCCTTCGAACAAACTGAAATTCTCAACGCAAATAGCTTTACAGTTATCTATATAAAGATTTGTAGTGGGCATTTCTGAAGCTGTTTGTGTTCTTTTGATATGCACAGGAATAACATTTGAATTTAAAAGGGTCTGATTCCGACCTAATGCCAGTTTCAGAGATTTCTTTGTACATTTGCACACTTTTGGCAAGCGCACAGTCATAACAGCGTGGGCATCTGGTAGCAGGCTCATCCCATGAACGCCTTTCTCAGCACAAACCTGTCGATCGCCACATGACAGACAACGCAGACCACTACTGATAACGCCTGGCGGTTTGGGACAGTCGACCGTATTTTGTATGATCGCTATGTGTGCTTCAATGCGGCTTAGGTTGATGGTCACATAGCGTTTAAGTGCAGGAATTTGCAATTTATCCAACTTAAAGTCCAATATATCCTGCACCTCTTCCATCGTGCCTAGAAACCGCAAATTATGTTGTTCAATCTGCTCTTTTAGATCCTCAACGGCGCGTAGACAACCTTCAATCAAAGCTAGTTTTTCCAAATTGACTGAGGCATTGGTAATCAACTGATTCATATCTTCACTGAGATCTTTAATTTCTTGCTCAAATTCAAACAGATTTAAGATCATGGGTTCGGCTATACGCCGTTGGAGCTTTTTGAGAAAGTCTATGTTGCCAATCATATAGCAGGCCAAGGTGTTCTCTTCAACACATGGTATACATGTACTATCTGCATTGTGTTTAAAATTCTCCCAATCTTTTAAGTCGTATTTCATTTGAGACAAGTGACCAAACTTTCTAGCCGTTTGTATATGATTATCAAGCTTGGATTTCACTTCGTCGATTGACTTTTCCAGCTCTGTGATAGCGTACAATTTCGGCCCAATAATTGATACCTGTGTATCGTCCAAGGTGATTGGAGCCGACTTGGATTTATGCAACAGCTCAGCCAAGCAGTCGGATTCCACGCCTTTAATTGAAACCGTATCGTTCTGGCAATCAAGTTTCTTGAGTATCACATCAATGAGTCTATGAAGTACGTGGACACTCGTAGTGGTCAGTTCTGGCGCGCCTAAGGCAACCTTGGTCAATTCCTCAAGTGTAAATTGCGCTTTTGGTGCCATGGTACGCTGTCACGGTCGTTTTTTATGTTTATGTGATTATTTATTCTTCAATTTTGAAAAAAAGTTTTGAAAAAAGCACAATGTTTTCAAAAGTCTTAACAAGTTTAACGAAAAAAACTGAGACAAATAAAGTAGATTCGTTACTAAAATATTGTTCAATAACAGAGATGTTATGTGAGTGGTTATTTTCCATAGCCAGTCCTGTGACGAGACATCGAGAAATAGTTCAATTATATTACAGTCAACTTAAAGTTATAGAGGCAATACTAGGAGTGAGCTCGCTGACCGTACACTCGAGCCTAGTAGAATAAAGTTTAAACTCCCAATCTGTGTCATCGATTTATATCGTCATTACTCTGTTTTGGGTTCAGAATTACAAGAATCTTTAAGGCTGATGAGCGTTGCAGATCATTTCACTAACAGTAGAATAGTTTCTTCGGAGATATTTAAACAATAATCTATACCAAATTTCGTAATGATCGTGATCAGTTTTTATGAAAGCTGTATGCTATGGTAGTCCCATATCGACCGAAATGACGAATGAGTTGCTTCTCTTGTGAAAAAAACTTAACAAGCAAGGAAGGGCTAAGTTCGGGTGCAACCAAACATTTTTTACTCATGCAAGACTCTTACAAGAGTCAAAACCAAGGAAATATTTTATGGTGTAAAACGTCTTACGGATCGAAATCCAAGCAATTGTATACAAACATATATCATATATAACTCCCAGCTGATTGCTTAAAAGACAACTCACAAACAAATGGTTGTACAGCACTCAGAGTTTGCTCTTCTTCGTTGTTCTAGTGATGTGGTTACGAATTCGAAGTTTTCCCAAAAAATTAGCAACTATTTGTTCTTGTAAGTGGTTAGTCCGCGAATAATTGTTTGTTGTCATAGACGAGTTTCGAAGCACCGTTAACGTATTTTCTTACCTTTTTCTCTCGACCAATTGATATGAGCCTTTTTATGAGTGATTGGAAATTTGTGCTGGATCCGACGTGAACAAAATTTCTTTATTTTCAAAAGTCTAATGCCTATGGTCGTCATAAGACGAACTTGCAAATCAGTTTGTGCCCACCAATATAGTTTCCGGAACAGCAACTGATTTTAGACGACTTTCTAGTATAGCCCTCATACTATATACTGAAATAAATTTATTTAAATTATAAATAATTTTCAAATTCTATATGTTTTTTCAGACAATCGTCTTCTCCGATGTGACTGACTTTTATATGAGTGGACTCCACAAACAATTCATAAACAAAGAATACATTAACTTTCATTGACAGTTTAGTGTGTTTTTGCTTTGGTGGAATCATCAGCCCGTACTTATTTCAAAATGAAGCTGGTGGCTCCGTTACTATCACTGGATAGCGGTATAGAGCGATGATAACCAACTTCTAATGGCCGCAATTGGAAGAAGTTGCTCTTGACAATATCTGCTTCCATAAAAACGGCGCTATGTGGCACATAGCATGCGAAACAACTGAATTATTACCAGGATAGTTTGGAGATCGATTATTTCAAGAAATTGTGACATTGCATGGCCTCCAAGTAGTTGCAATTAAACATCATTAAACTAGTTGGGGTTATTTAAAGTCGTTTCCCTTTAGCAATAAACCAGACCCTCTTCAAGCTTTAGAATTAAATTTAGAATTCGACGTGCTACTCATGACAAACGACTTTGTTTAAGGCAAAAAGTACTCAAAAATTGGGTTCATCAAATTCGTTCCTGCAAAAGAAGTTGTGGAGGTCAATTGAATGATGTTATATTCGGAATATAATTGTAGCGATTGTAATTCACATTAAATAAAAAACATTTGAAGTTTCTTAGAAATCAGTGTTCCTTTTTTTTTTTTTGAAAATAAATCATATCCCTCTTATTGAAAACCCCTGTATATGCATATAATAGTTTTCACTACTCTTGCGGAATTTCACTTCAGTAAGTAATGTCAAATATTTTATAATAGAAATTTGTATTCATTTGTCAAGCATTTTTGTTGAAATCTTCTATTTTTCACACCTTTATTAATTAACGGAAAAATGGATTCTCTGCCTACAGGTCACTTTACTTTGCAGCAGTTGGCGAATATTGCGCTTGGTGGCGAGCAATTGACCGGAGTCAATACTATGGTACTACACAGCTTACTGGATCTGCTATTAAAGAAGTTGAATTGTGAAGACGAAAGAGTGTCGATAAGCGGCTATGAAGCCAAGCAAATCGAAAAAATTTTGCAGACTTCTTCTATTTCGCCAATTACTTTTCACGAAGAGAATTTCGATGTAGTTTTAGAGAAATTTGAGAATATAGACGAGATGGAGAAGCAGCTCAATGAAACCGAAGCGAAGTTGAGTGAGCATTTAATTGGTATTCGGCGCTTTTTGAATAGGTTCGAGACATTAGAACCATTTCGCTTCGACGATGATGATTACTATGAACTATGCGAGGACCTGTGCAGTACACTTGATCCGGATGTGAAAATCGCTTGTGAAACACTGGCCAGATCGACGTTTTTGAAGACCATATTAATGCGCATGTGTCATCCAATCTTGAAAGCTTACCATGAAGTTGAAAAGAAATTATGTGTGCTTGAGGTGGAGGTGTGTGCACTAATGAAACGCTTGGATAAAACTTTTGACAGTTTTCAACTTGTCACTGTGGTACAATCGGAGTTTGAGTGGTGCCGTGTCGAATTGGACAGGGTGCATGGCATCTTTTTTAAAGCTCTGAATGAAATACAAGACATACTCGATGCGAAGGTAAACAAATGTCAAATGCTACAGCTGAAAGAGTATGTAACCGAACGTCTAGACAATATTTGGGTGAAATTGAACAAATTGCGCATCGAAGGTCGTTGCCAGCGCGCTTCCGCTGTTGTAATCGATAAACAAACGACTGCTTATACGGAGGCCGGAAAGAAAATGGTTAATACGCCTTGCATTTGTGATGGTGTTCATCTGCAATTGGCTAAAGAACATAAGTTACTTGAGCGCATGCGGCGTATAGACAATAAATGTGTGGAAATACTTCTGGAAACCCAATGGCGAAAGTCAAATGCAGGGACATCAACAAAACAGAGTCCATAAAAGCGGAAGCATTCAGCAATTACATATCAGATGAACCTAAATATGATATATTAGACTTTTACGACTGTCCCAGGAAGGTTCCAGTTTGAAACAGATCGCTTTTTATAAATGTAATGCAAATAAGAACTGATGATTATATATAAATATTGTATTTAATTGTTCGGGTGCTTAGATAATAATAGCAATATTTCATAGGTAATATCAGTTGAGAATATGCAGTATACAACACATTCAAACGACCAACGTGGCTACTTGAGCCGATTTAGACACGTCCGCACGTTTCTCTGTCAGTACATACGCGAAGTAGTCCTTCAGGTTTTTGGCTAATTTTTTTCACTTCATGAAGCTGCTTATTTGTCGACAGCACCGTTAATGGATCACTATAGCGTATAGCTGCCATAAAACCGACCGATCTAAATCCATTTTTTGTACGAAGCTTAGGTGCAACAAAAATTAACTTTTTTTTTTTGAAGTAGGTAGAGCGTATGACTGAATACCTACCTTTAGGAGCCCCATTGTGAACCAAAAATTTAAATTTACATAAAAGATGTTCTATATTCTCGTCTTCTACTTCTTGACAGCTTTTACAATAGTCATCGTATTGTATTCCCAGTCTGCTGGAATATTTTCCAATTAAGCAGTGATCTGTTAGCTCTTCTACTAGAGTTCGTATGCCATTCCTTTTCAATTTTAGTAGTCGGCATCTGCGGCCACGTTTGTCTGCTTTTGGAGCAAGTCAGGAATTATTTCCACCGAGACTTAGCTATGTATATCTATAACATGTTTGTCGCTTAGATATCTACAAGTAAGTAACCACATGCATATAATTTATCTCTTTTTATACACTGAACATGGTACATTAAGTTTATCACGAAGTTTGTAACACCCAGAAGGAAGCGTCGGAGACCCTATAAAGAGTAAGTATAAATTTATTTAGCCATGTCCGTCCGTCTGTCTGTCCATCTGTTTGTATATATACGAACTAGTCCCTCAGTTTTTAAGATATCATTTTGAAATTTTACAAACGTCATGGGAACTGCCGATATCGGACCACTATAACATATAGCTTGCCTACAAACTGAACGATCGGAATCAAGTTGTTGTATGGAAAACTTTTCATCACGAAATTTTTTATGAGTTATTGTTCATAGAAATAATGTTATATCGGAAGAAATTGTTCAGATCGGCTCACTATAGCATTTAGTTGCCATACAAACCGTCCGATCGGAATCTAGTGCTGGTATGGAAAACTTTTGCATTTAACGTACATTACTGCTTAAAAAAAATAATATAATCTCCCAAAAAATTGTTCAGATCGACTCACCATAGCATATAGCTGCCATAGAAAATCTGTCTAATTGGTCAGAGACGGTATTTTAGAATGCCTATTCAGACGTCCTCCCTATTTACGCAGTCTCTGTCGACAATTAATTTAAAATAACGATTAGTCCCTAATTTGGTGTTGTTCGAAGGGCTCCAAGCACTAGCATACAGACTTGGCTTCTATCTAAAATGAGTTCCAAGTATTCTGCTTCCTCTCTTTAGTTGCCTGGTGCCATTTATAATTGCGGCATAGCTTTTCGATGTTTCCTAGTGAACAACACTAGTTTTTGTGTTCGCTATTTTCGAGCTCGTTACAAATACTGCAATCTTCTTGAAACAACTTTTTTCAAGGAGATAACGTTGAAACCTTTATCTTTTATGATAATGTTGCTTTTATTTATTTGTTTGTTCTGCTCATCTTCTGGTCCCACGAGTTTAGGGGAAAGTAAGTTCGCTTGCTTATAGCCCACGCTTTTCAAATAGGGCTAACTTAAGTAAATGCAGTTGGGAGGTATCTCGCTAAGGTCTGACTCTTTATTTGGTTGCTCGCTGCTTCGCAATAGCTTCGGTAATCAACATAGCTGGAATACTTGAAAGAAGCTTTCGGATACCTGATGCCCTCCGATGGTAACAGCAGCCTCGTTTACAAGTATTTGGGCCTATTTCTTGCTAATTTTGGATTGCTGGGGAAAAAACATTTTTACAACGCGTAGGCTTTTTGTGTGGTGGGGAGGGCTCAGCGGGGAAATTTTGCGAAAATTGTTTATAATTACGTTAAACAAAAATATTGAATTGCGTATAATATCTGAAACATAATAAAGAACTACACATGTCTCTCGCAATAATTAACATTCAATAGAACCTTGACTTGTAAAACTAATTCCAAATTTTACATTTTGATGGTTTTTAGCCGTTTTAGAGTTTGGAAGAGTAAAAACCTATCTTGACTGATAAAGTCTTGAATCTAAGCATAAAAAGATTTTTCATCAATACAATTGGAATTGAGCTTCGCAGATCGAAAGTAGGACCATTCAAGGGCGAAATCAAGAAACTTGGCACGGAATATTGCATAAGGCAATGATGTACTGGAAGAAATTATTCAGATCGGCTCATTGTAGTCTATAACTGTCATACAAGTGTTAAAATTTCTTCGCAAAAGTTCATTCTATTATTCAAAGCAATGCTCTAGTGTCTGACTACATTTTTACAGATCGGATGATGATAGCGTATAGCTCCATAAAAAGTGACCGAACAAAATCGAGTTGTGTATAGAGACTAGCTTCAGTATTCCAGCTTTGGCACAACTGAAGTTAACGTTTTTTTTTGTTTCGATGTTTTTTGTTATGGAAGCTCATAGATGGCTCAAGAAAATATGACTAAATCGAATACTTTAAATTAATTACTATCATATAAAGAGTTTTTTTGTTTTATTACTAATTTCCAAAGTAAGCTTTAATTCTTCTTTGTAGATACTTAATATTTTTCTTACTTCGAATATGTTTTCCAAAATTAGTAGGGAAGAACATATGTATATACCAATAAACTCCTTCAGGCTATAGGCATATTCTCATACAACATCGCTAAGATATTTATGTTTTATTTACTATTGTTCTTTGTGCCATTGGTTGTAAGCATCCCAGCTGAAACCAAAATAGCAAGCACCACAAATGATGGATATAATAATGATTGCAAACACAGAGTTCCTTCAGTCCGCCAGTTGAGTGGCAGTCGCAGTGACAATATCAGTGACAACAACAGCAGACTGCCAAAAATGTCAGCAGTATTCAAATCGAACTAATAAGAACATGACATATTCTTGAAAAGCTTTGTCCTTTGACAGCACTGATTTCAATGGCGAAAAGTGTTAAGCTTAGTACTAAATACCAAATATATTCGTGTACATAAATTGAAGAAGCGATTGTGATGGCTCCAAAATTCAAACCAGAGATTTTTGATGATATTAATTCCATAAAAAATGTGCGCATATGTATATGTATGTGTATGGATTTATGTGACTTTGTATTTGTCATGGTTCAAAGGAAGATGTGATTAGTGCCGTGCAGGTTTGCCCTTTTCGGATTAAACTCAGCCCATAACATGAGCATGACGATTCACAGATCGTGGCGCGACCTCAAACATTGGAAAGCTAATGAATCGAAAACAGGCAACCCAAATAAAGTTGTATTTGTCAAAAAATACGTACGTACGCACACACATCCACACGTGTGTAAAAGAAGCGGAGTAAATAAATTCGTTTTGATGCAGATGAGGACACATTTGATGCGCGGATCGAATTTCATAAAATATTTTTTGCCCACTGCGAAACATACAAAAATCGAAATCGAAGAATATGCAGGGACAAAATTTAATAAAGCGAAAATTTTTATATATTTCGCTCGTTTCGCTCGAAATGAAATTGAATATTTGCATGAGGTATGTTTGCTCAGTGGACTTCGAGCAGAAATATGAAATACATTTATGGTTATGATTCATTTACATATGTATATAAAATTAAGGTTGTCCATATGTACATAAGCATGCGCTAGTTTATATAGGCTGTTTAACTGAGCGTGAAATTTGGTCCGAAAAATATTGCTACGCACTCGTTCACAAAATCTTCGTTGGAAAGAAGAAAGTGCAAATTCACATCTTCAGTGATATGTTTGGGTCGTATTTATGTAACTACGTAACTTAGGAAAATGAAAGCATTATTAACTTCGATTGTATCGAATTCTGACCGTTCAATTTGTATGACAGCTATATGGTTTAGTAGTCCGATATCGCCGGTGCCGTAAAATAAGCAGTTTCCTAGTAAGAAAATAAAGTGCGCAAAATTTCTGATTGGTGTATCAAAAACTGAGAGACTAGTTTGCCTATAAATAGGCAGACAGATGGGCATGGGTTAATTGACTCAGCTCGTCACGATGATCATAGTTGTTGTTTCAATAATTTTTAGTTATAAGATGATTCGATCTGTCTTAAAAATAATTGAAATGTTTGATACATGAGCAATATCTTATTAACCTTCACAACTATCTTTCTTAATAAGCCGGTTGCAATTTATGTCTCTGGCCGTTGTCTCAATGCACTTATGCCAAAGCTTTTTCTCCATTCTCGACATCTCTCAACAGTTGTTAAAGTCAATTTCCGAAATAGCATTCATCTTCAATGTCTTCAATCGACTCAAAATGGTTTCCTCGGAGCTGTTGTTTGAATGTAACGAATAGCCAGAAGTCACACGGCGCTAAATCAGGTGAATACGGCGGTTTCGGCATGTTATTCGTTGAAAATTTGGCGAAATACTCACGAAGAATCAAGAAGTTCACGAAAGTAGAAAAGTTCTCTAAACGCCATTCACTTGGGAGTTGCTAGAAACCAGTCTTTTACATATGACTCAAGCAGCTGACGCCCTTAGTATCCGCTGGGTAGACAAAAAACATACAAATAAAAGCAAGCTAAATTAAAAAGGCGAATAATTCCTCCTCAAGCACAAAACATTCTCAATGATAAAGTCACAACGTCCACGGATCGCCAGTAATAATACGTTTCAGGATATCTTGATAGTCCGAAACCATTGCTTGACAGACTTTAGTGTAATGTTGTTGTTAGGAAAAAAATGTGATATATAGTGATTTTTAAACCATAACAAAAAAAAAAAAAAAAAAAAAAAAAAAAAAAAAAAAAAAAAAAAAAAAAAAAAAAAAAAAAAAAAAAAAAAACGGCGATTAACAGTCTGTTAAAATCACTTTGAAAGAGTACGAGTTAAACAAATTATTCAGAGAGGGACGACAAACCACGTCCAGGACAGCCAACTGGTGATC